CCACAGCATACAGAGGGAAAACCCACAACAAAAAACAAATAAGAAAATTAAACAGACCAATAGCTGCAAAAAAAAAAAAAAAAGGAAAAAAGAAACAGTCATCAAAAGTCTCTCAACCAAAAAAAGTTTGGTGCCAGATGGTTTCGGCACAGAATTCTACAAGATTTTCAAAGAAGAACTAATACCAATACTCCTCAAATTGTTTCACACAATAGAAACAGAAAGAACATTGCCAAACTCTTTTTATGAAGCTACAATTATCCTGATATCCAAACCAGACAAAGATATTACTAAGAAAGAGAATTACAGAGCAATCTCACTTATGAATATTGATGCATAAATACTCAATAAAATATTGGCAAACAAAATCCAAAAACATGCCAGAAAAATCATCCATCATGATCAAGTTGGTTTCATCCCAGAGATGCAGGAATGGTTCAACATATGAAAATCTGTCAATGTAATCCACCATATAAACAAACTGAGAAGAAAAAAAAAACATGATGATCTCATTAGATGCTTTCTGAAAAAGCCTTCAACAAAATACAACATCCCTTCATGATAAAGGTCTGGAGAGAGCAGGGATACAAGGAACATACCTAAACATAATAAAGGCAACATACAGCAAGCCAACAGCCAACCTCAAACAAAATGGGGAGAAACTCAAAGCCATCCCACTGAAATCAGGAACAAGACAAGGTTGTCCACTCTCTCCATATCTATTCAATATAGTACTTGAGGTTCTAGCTAGAGCAATAAGACAACAAAAAGAGGTCAAGGGGATACAAATCGAAAAAGAAGAAGTCAAACTCTCCCTATTTGCTGATGATATAATAGTGACCCCAAAAGTTCTACCAAGGAGCTTATAATAAAGCTTCATGATGTAGGAGGATACAAGATTAACTAAAAAAATCAGTAGCCCTCCTTTACACAGATAATAAATGGACTGAGAAAGAAATCAGAGAAATATCACCCTTTACAATAGCCACAAACAGCATAAAATATTTTGGAGTAACTATAACCAAACAAAAACCTGTATAATAAGAACTTTAAATTTTTGAAAAAAGAAATTAAGGAAGACACCAGAAAATGGAAAGATCTCTCATGCTCTTGAGTAGGCAGAATTAACATAGTAAAAATGGCAATCTTACAAAAAGCAATCTACATATTCAATGCAATGACCATCAAAATCCTATCAAAATTCTTCACAGACCTTGAAAAAACAATACTCAACTTCATAAAGAATCAAAAACCCAGGATAGTCAAAACAATCCTGTACAATATAGGAACTTCTGGAGGCACCACAATCCCTGACTTCAAACTCTACTACAGAGTACTGAAAACAGTCTGGTATTGGCATAAGAACAGACAGGAGGACCAATGGAACCAAATAGAAGACCCGGATATCAATCCACACACTTACAAACACCTGATTTTTGACAAAGGAGCAAAAAAATATCAAATGGAAAAAAGAAAGCGTATTCAACAAGTGGTGCTGGCATAACTGGATAGCATCATGTAGAAGAATGAAAATAGACCCATATCTATCACCATGCACAAAACTCAAGTCCAAATGGATCAAAGACCTCAACATAAAGCCAGCCACACTGAACCTTATAGAAGAGAAAGTGGGAAGTACACTTGAATGCATTGACACAGAAGACCATTTACTAAATATAACCCCAGCAACCCAGACACTGAAAGAAACAATTAATAAAGGGGACCTCCTGAAACCGAGAAGCTTCTGTAAAGCAAAGGACATGGTCAACAGATAAAACAACAGCCTACAAAATGGGAAAAGATCTTTACCAACCCCACATCAGACAGAGGTCTGATCTCCAAAATATACAAAGAACTCAAGAAATTGGACATAAAAAGAACATGCAATCCAATTTGAAAAAAAAATAGAGTACAGACCTAAACAGAGAACTCTCAACAGAGGAATCTAAAATGGCTGAAAGACACTTAAGGAAATGTTCAACATCCTTAGCCATCAGCGAAATGCAAATCAAAACAACTCTGAGATTCCATCTTACACCTGTAAGAATGGCCAAGATCAAAAACCACTGATGATAACTTATGCTGGAGAGGATATAGGCAAAAGGGAACTCTTCTGCATTGTTGGTGGGAATGCAAGCTGGTACAGCCCCCTTTGGATATCAGTGTGGTGATTTCTTAGAAAATTAGGAAACCACCTTCCTCAAGACCCAGTAACACCACTTTTGGGTATATATCCAAAGGATGTTCAATCATGCCACAGGAACATGTGTTCAACTATGTTCACAGCAACTTTGTTGCCAGAACCTGGAAACAATCTAAATGCCCGTTGACTGAAGAATGGATAAGGAAAATGTGATACATTTACACAATGGAGTACTACACAGCAGATAAAAAAAATCTGACATCTTGAATTTTGCAGGAAAATGGATGGAGCTAGAAAACATTATTTTTAGTGAGGTAACCCAGACACAGAAAGACAATTATCACATGTACTCACTCATAGGTGGATTTTTTATTTATTCATTTATTAAAGATTTCTGTCTCTTCCCCACCACCACCTCCCATTTCTCTCCCCCTCCTCCAATCAAGTCCCCCTCCCTCGTCAGCCCAAAGAGCAATCAGGGTTCCCTGCCCTGTGGGAAGTCCAAGGACCACCCACCTCCATCCAGGTCTAGTAAGGTGAGCATTCAAACTGCCTAGGCTCCCACAAAGCCAATACGTGCAGTAGGATCAAAAAAACCCATTGCCATTGTTCTTGAGTTCTCAGTAGTCCTCACTGTCCACTATGTTCAGCGAGTCCGGTTTTATCCCAGGCTTTTTCAGATCCAGGCCAGCTGGCCTTGGTGAGTTCCCGATAGAACATCCCCATTTTCTCAGTGTGTGGGTGCACCCCTTGTGGTCCTGAGTTCCTTGCTAGTGCTCTCTCTCCTTCTTCTCCTGATTTGGACTTAGTGATCCTAGAGAAGCTAAATAAGGAGAACACAAAGAAAAACATATAGGCATCCTCCGGAATATTAACCTTCATCAGGCGATGAAAGGAGACAGAGACAGAGACCCACATTGGAGCACCGGACTGAAACCTCAAGGTCATAGGTGTATTTTAAACAAAGCAAAGACAACCAGCCTACAAACCACAATCCCAGAGACCCTAGACAACAATGAGGACACTAAGAGAGACATACATGTAACACTAGATACTTCCAGAGGGAGGAAGAAGAAGCTAGGACCACCAGCCCAGGGGTTTCCCTACAGCCTGGTCTTATGAGGGGATTTTCAAAATTGAAGTTCTCTCCTCTCAGGTGACTCTAGCTCGTGACAAGTAAGCATAGAAACTAGCCAGCATAGGAGGGTTATCCTCGGGGTAAGACTCCACCCAGATAAGATTCCACCTTGTAAAAATTTGGTGGAACTGTTTGGGAAGGATTAGGAAGGGTGACTGTGGAGGTTTTAATGAGAATGACTCCCATCGGCCCTAAGTTTGAATGCTTGGCCGTTTGCTAGGTGGATTGTTTGGGAATGAGTGGCAGGCATGGCAGTCCTGAAGTATCTGTGTCACTGGGGGGGGGGGGGGGCTTCCATTTTAGGTTGGAGTAGCTGTGTCACTGGGGGTGAGCTTTATTCAGGCCCAGTGCCCTTCTCACTACCTGCTGCCTGCTGACCAGAATGCAAAGCTCTCAGCTACTGCTCTGGAGCCATACCTGTCTGCTTCCCGCCATAATGACCATAAACCAACCCTCTAAAATTGTAACCAAGCAATCTCCCAATAAAACACTTTCTTTTATAAGAGTTATCTTGGTCATACTGTCTCTTCATACCAGTAGAAAAGTGACAAAGACAGAAACTAGTATCAGGGACTGGGGCATTGCTGTGACAGGCCTGACCACGTTTGCAGAATGTGGAAAACTTGGGGCCTTTGGACTAGAAAAGTGGTCGAACTTTTTAAGTGGGTGTACTGGCTGGTTTTGTGTGTCAACTTGGCACAAACTAGAGTCATCAGAGAGGAAGGAGCTTCAGTTGAAGAAAAGCCACTGTGAGATGCAGCTGTAGGGCATTTTCTCAATTAGGGATCATTGAGGGAGAGCCCAGTCCACGGTGGGTGGGGCCATCCCTGGGCTGGTGGTCCTGGGTTCCATAAGAAAGCAAGTTGAGGAAGCCACATGAAGAAAGCTACTAAGTGGGACCCCTCCATGACTTCTTCATCAACTCCTGCTTTTAGGATCCTGCCCTGTGTGAGTTCCTGTCCCGATTTCCTTCAGGGATGAACAACAACGCGGGAAGTGAAAGCCAAATAATCCCTTTCCTTCCCAGCTTGCTTTTTGGTCATGGTGTTTTGTTGCAGCAATAGAAATCCTCACTAAGTCAATGGGGCTTAATGGGTGTAGTGTTTTGAAAGAAAATGGCACAAGTTCAGTTCCTGTTGCCTGCATGTAAACCTCTCAGCTCCTTTTCCAGCACCATGTCTGTCTGCTTGCTGCCATGTTTCCCACCATGACAGTAGTGGACTAACCCTCTGAACTGTAAGCCAGCCCCAATTAGACACTTTCCTTTATAAGAGTTGCCATGGTCATGGTGTCTCTTCACAGCAATAGAAACCCTAAGACGATGGGCCATCGGAGTAGGAACATAGAAGGCAGTAGTGTGGAGGGGGATTTGGACTATAGAGGTTTGACGCCAGAAGTTTCAGAGGGTGAGAATATTAGTAAATGGCCTACAGACCTTTCTTGTGATATTTTGGAAAAGAATGTAGCTGCTTTCTGCCGTTGACTAAAACATTTGTTGGAGTCTAAACTGAAGACTTTGGATTAATGCCCTTAGCAGAGGAGATTTCAAGACAGCCTAGTACTAACTATGTCACATGGCTAGTAGCAATCACTCCTATGCAAATCCACCATGAAAAGGAACAAGTGGGGCAAAAAGAAATACAGAAGGCACAGTTTGAGGAGAAAAGAGGCACTGGAAAGTGTCATGTTGGGGCCAAAGTTTGTGCTGAATAAGAGATAAGAAGTTTAAAGGGAGTCCTGAATCAAAATGGAATGAAGGGGGCGACCACCCTCAGGACAAGATGCCACCCAGGCAATCCTGCAGCCTGTGAAAGGAACAGGCAATACTGCAGCCAGTGGGATTTCCTCTCTTTAGAAACCAGCATCAACTGAAAGCTTATGCAAATGCAAGTCAAGGAGGGGGCCGAATTAAGACCCCAACAGGCAGAAGAAATTGACCATGTGGTTTTGGATTTAGAGTCAAAACAGATAGAAAAGGTGGTAGAATCTTCCTCCATAAGGAAAGCTGCTGAGGTTAGGCATGGGACCGGGGCAACCCTGATTGGAGGCCCAGAGAGGCCATTTCATGAACCTGTGAAGGTGGATCCTGGATTACATTGGAGACCCCAAGATGTTAGAGATGCCAGAGCTATGGACATCTGCCAAGGAAAGCTGCATTCAAATTGTGGTGCCAGCTCGAAAGAGAGAAGTGTGTTGCAGTCAACAAAGGTGGGGGGATGGGATACTGCGCAAGCCATCTGAATGACCTGTGGGCCAGTATTTATTCACTCTGCTCTCTTTCTCTTTCTCCGCTTTTGGAGTGACAATGCATATTCTCTACCATTGTGTGTTGGAAGACTGGGACCTGCCTTTTTCATTTTACAAGAGTTTACAGTTAAGAAATTGCCTTAAGACTCAGAAGAGACTTTGGACTTTTAGCAATTGAAACAACCCATATATCATTAAATAAACCTCTCTACTTACATATACCAAGTAAGCTAATGAGTCTGCCTAAACATATTCAGCAATAGGGAATCTTGAATCCTCACATCCAAAACTATACTGTATTTGACCTCTGGTCACATGGTTTTAGTGAGTCCTATTAAAACATCTGGCACCGGTGTCAACTCAGCTGAATTTCAGAGAGAGTCGACATTAATCTTCTTTTACATGTACCTCCGGCTCATTAGCAAAGAGACAATCTCTGTGGTGTTAAAGGTAGTACAGACAGTAGTTCAGAAAGTTAGCTTGCACAACTTCTTGTCATCCAGGTATATGGCTTGTCTCCTGGAGGACCTGGAGGAAGCGAGATGTTGTAGAATACTCTTCGTGTACACTGTGAAGATGTGTCTGTACCAAGGTGCCTTCTGAATGGTTTAATAAGGGCTGAATGGTCAAGAACTAGGCAGGAAGAAGTTAGGCGGGACTTCTGAGCAGAGAGGAAAGAGGAGGAGATGAATCTCGCTGCAAGAGGGACACCAGAGGGAACGGAGAGGAAACTGCGTATGTGAGAGGGAAGAGAGAATAGATTAATGTAAGTGAGCTAAATTAATTATAAGACATAGTGCACAAATCTAAGCTATAGGCGGAGCCTTCATAATTAATAAGTCTCTGTGTCACTTTTTTTGTGAGCTGGCGGCCCAAAGAAAAATCCATCTACAGCAATAGACAGGATGAATCCTCGGTCACCGTCCCCAGTGCCTTGCCCAACAACTCAGTTATTTCAAGATTCACGTCTCCAAGCCTCTCCAGTTCCAGTTACTGATCAAGGCCATCTTCCCTTACCAAGAGATGGCACCTAGCCCCTCCCATTCTTCCTCAGGCCTTCCCTATTTTATAGAAAGTTGCAGAGCTTAAACATTACCCAAGTGTTTACATTTGAAATGCTATCAGCACGCGGCCTTAGCCCCTCCCTCTTGTGCACTTCCTGCTCCTGTGGCGGTTACAACTTTGGTCTGCGCTGCTTTGAGAGCTGCTGGGAGCTGAAAATGTGATGCTCAGAGCTAAGAAGCATCTCTGTTAGGACAGAAAGGAGGTGAATGATAGTTTTTTTCTGTTTTCTTCTCAGAATTCACACGTAAACAAGTGATCTCAAACTCTTAGGTTCAGGTCCTCCCCTAAAATCCCGCAATGAACATTATATAGGGCAGCAACTGCCCAGTGGTGGTGGCGCACACCCTTAATCCCAGCACTCGGGAGGCAGAGGCAGGCGGATCTCTGTGAGTTCGAGACCAGCATGGTCTACAGAGCTAGTTCCAGGACTGGCTTCACAGCTACTGAGAAACTCTGTCTCGAAAAACCAAAACAACAACAAAACAACAAAAACAAAAACCCAAGAGCAGCTGCCTTGAGGCAGTGGTATATCCAATATTTATCAGTGAATAAGACATAAATCCCAATCTTTGCGGAGCTTGCATTACATTGGGGAAAGACTGAAAACACACATAACTTTGCTCAGAGATAAGTGCTGAGGAAAATGGTATAACGGGATCGGTGGCCGAGACTTTTGAGCAGGTCATTGAAGTAGGTGACTTTAGGATGGAGACATCAAGGTGAGAGGACAAATTTGTGCTTGTCTGGATGTTCCAAGCTGAGAGGACAGCTCTGCAAGACCAGTGAGGCACACAGACAGCGGGTGCAGAAGGAGCACAGCAAGGAGAGCAGCGTGGCTCAGAGAGATAGGAGACCTTAGGGACACAGGAGAGGCTGCAGCTTCACTCTGAGGACACCGAATGTATGTGGGTTACAACCACAGACAAATCACACGAACTATGTTGATTATGAAGTTGGTGTTTGGTCTAGAAATTATGATTTTTAAAAAATATACTTTGATAAATCCTTTGAGTATATTAGGCTTGCATGCAATGTATGCCAGTCACAGCCTCCATCTGTCTCCCCGCGGACGCTGGGATTTTGAGCAAGGAAGGTGAGTAGGTTTGGAGACGGGGAGAGGTCACATTGGTAGACAGCACAGCTGTAGTAAGGATGAAGTTCTGCAAACACAAGTCGTGTTGGAGAAGGACAAGGCCACTAGAGGGCAAGACAGCGCCAAGGACAAGTTCACACAGGCCCTACTGTGTTTCCTCTGGGAGGCTTGGCTCTGGAGAGAGAGAGAGAGAGAGAGAGAGAGAGAGAGAGAGAGAGAGAGAGAGAGAG